CTCTCCCCCTCTCCCCCTCTCTTTCCCCCTCTCCCCCCTCTCTCTCTCCCTCCCTCTCTCTCTCTCTTCCTCTCTCTCCCTCTCTCCCTTTCTCTCCCTCTCTCTCCCTCTCTCCTTGTCTCCCTCTCCCCCTCTCCCCCTCTCCCCTCCCCCCCCCTCCAAACAGTGTCTCACTATTTAGTGAGCCTGGATCTCACTGTGTAGATCAGCCTGGCATAAAACAACAGAAATGGGGCTGGAGAGATGGCTCAGTGGTTTAGAGGACCTCCAGAAGTCCTGAGTTCAACTCCTAGCAGCCACATGGTGGCTCACAACCATCTCTAATGGGATCTGTAATGGGATCTGATGCCCTCTTCTGGTGTGTCTGAAAACAGCGACAGTGTACTCATATACATAAAATAAATAAATCTTAACAAACAAAAAAAGCAAAAAAAAAAGCCGGGCTGTGGTGGCGCACGCCTTTAATCCCAGCACTTGGGAGGCAGAGGCAGGCGGATTTCTGAGTTCGAGGCCAGCCTGGTCTACAAAGTGAGTTCCAGGACAGCCAGGACTACACAGAGAGACCCTGTCTCGAAAAACCAAAAAAAAAAAAAAAAGCAAAAAAAAAAAAAATCCAGCTGCCATCTGCCTCTGAGGTCTTGGGACTAAAGGCATGGGCTATCCTGGTCAGCATCATATTTTTTGATGCAGTCTCTCATTGGACCCGAGGATCACCATTTAGACTAGGCTAACTGGTCAGTGAACTTCTGGGCTCCACCCTCCAAAGCTGGGCTTGCTGCATACCTGGGGCTGTGCTTGGCTTTTATGTGACTCTGAGGATTTGAACTCTGTCCTTGTGCTTCCGTGGCAAGCGCTCTTAGCTGCTGAGTCATCTCCATAGCCCACAGCTACTTTCTTGATAGAAGGTATAATCACCACCAGACCTGGGTGCAGATGCTGGGTCTGCCCCTGACAGTGTGACACTAGGAAAAAAGTCACATTTTCCTATTCTGAGACCTTTTCCTCTGTTCCGTGGGCAGGATAGTATCTGTTTAGTAGTCACACTGAATAGTAGGTGAAGAATGTGATTCAAGAACTCAACACACCACTAGTCCTAGCACTCAAGATGCAGAGGCAGGTTGATATAGTTTGAAGCCAACCTGGTCTATAGAATGAGTTCCAGGATAGCCAAGGCTACACAGAGAAACACTGTCTTGAAAAACAAACAAACAAAACACATGGGTGTGGTGATTTTTGCTGGAAAGCCAGTGTTGCAGAGGCTGATGCAGGAAAAATCTCACATTCAAGGCCATCTTGGGCACATAGACCCTGTCTCAAAACAGACAACACAGTGCAGTGAATGGCTAACACAGGTGAAGTATCTAATTGCTAATTACCCCCATGCAGTCCAAACACTATATATTAGAAATGTGGTGTTGGGAAGGTAGGTGACTTAACCCCTGAGCCTCAGGCTGCCATGTCATGTGACCTTTGGTTTCCATTTTGAGTCTTGTGTTCACCTGGAATGACTTTCATATTGTGAACGGAAGTCAAAAGAACTTAAAATCAGGTCTGGAGAGATGACTCAGTGGTTAAGGGCACTGGCTGCTCTTCCAGAGGTCCTGAGTTCAATTCCCAACAACCACATGGTGGCTCACAACCATCTGTACTGGGATCTGATGCCCTCTTCTGGTGTGTCTGAAGACATGACAGTGTACTCATATACATAAAATATATAAATCTTTTTTTAAAAAAAAAAATCTGAAAGTCACTCTTCATGGCTGAAATGATCTTGTCTTCAAAGTATTCCACTTCCTTCATCCTTCATCCAGGGGAGAAACCCAGAGGATGGTGAGGAAGTTATAGACATTTCTGAAGATTCCTTTCCCTTCACAGTTGGCTCGGGTATGCCCAAACTAGGTTGATGAAGAACAGCCTCAAACATGTTCCTTCAGAAATATTTTGATGTGCTATTCCAATTAATGGGCCAGCTCCATTCTGCTTCAGAACAGCTCAAGGGCTCAAGTTACTCCTGCTTCCCCATCATGCTCTCAGGCATTGTCCAAAGTATGTTACCCAATTCTTCCTGTGGGCAATGGTTGTGTGTGTGTGTCTGTGTGTGTGTGTGTGTGTGTATAGATTCACTTATCTGTGTGTGCCAATGCAGAGGACAGAAGCTGACACTTTGGGGGGTGCACTTCCATTATGCCCCACTTTTTTGTGGATTTTTAAAAGTTTGTGTATATGGGGTTGATGGGTGCATATGTCACATAAATACAGGAGCCTGCAGAGGACAGAAGACAGCATCAGACCCCTTGGAGCCGTGAGCTACCTAATGTGAGTGCTGGAAACCGAACTTGGGTCCTCCAGCTGAGCAGCATGTGGTGTAACTACTGGGCCATCTTTCTAGCTTTTTTTTTTTTTTTTTTTTGGTTTTTTTGAGACAGGGTTTCTCTGTGTAGCCCTAGCTGTCCTAGAACTCACTCTGTAGACCAGGCTAGCCTCGAACTCTTGAACTCAGAAATCCACCTGCCTCTGCCTCCCAAGTGCTGGGATTAAAGGCGTGTGCCACCACCGTCTGACCTAGCTTTTTATTTTAAAGACAGGTTCTCAGAGCTGGAGAGATGGCTCAGTGGTTAAGAGCACTGACTGCTTTTCCAGAGGTTCAATTCCTAGCAACCACATGGTGGCTCACAACCATCTGTAATGGGATCCAGTGCCCTCTTCTGGTGTGTCTGAAGACAGCTGCAGTGTTCTCACATATATAAAGTAAATACATATTTAAAATAAAATAGACAGAGTCTCTCATTGAACTTGAAATACACCGTTTCAGCTAGATAGGCTGGCCACGACTCGCTGGAGAATCCTCCTGACCCCACAGCCCCTAGCTCTGGGCCACAGACACATGCCCTAGAGCCCAGCTTTTACATGGATGTTGGAGTCAGAACAAGGATGCTACTTGTGCAAACACTTTACCCACAGAGCCAGCTCCCATGAACTTAAGGAGAGAAACGCTCTAACTTAAGGCCATCTCCAGTTTGAAGATGATGAAAACAGGCTGACAGAGGTGAATTAAGCTGTCCGAGTGCAGGCAAGGTTAGGAAGTGACCCAGTTTTGCGCTCATCTAATAGTAATCCTGAGACACGTCCTCCCAGAACACCCTAGAGAGGAAGGAGAGACACACAGAAGTCATTGTGCTGAATCAGTTAGCTAGAGGCATGAACACTCAGCCAAAACCGTAGCTTTAAACATCATTGTCTCTAACATAAGTCGGTGAGTAGCCAGGTAGCTCTATCCTGGGCCATCGCCTCATACACTGAAAGTCTGGGATTACCTTGATAGTCTAATTATTCTGACTATCATCTGGGATGATTGGGACCCATGGCACTAGCAGGGGGGACGTAAGCTTAGATACAAGATGAGGGTCACCAAATTTCCAGGATCACATTAAAGTGAGTGTTTGTGTGTGTGTGTGTGTGTACACAACTCACAGGAGGCTGTTCTCTCTTTCCACTATGTCAGTCCTAGGGAATCTAATGTCTAATGCAGTCATCAAATGTGTTAGCAAACTCTTCTACTCCTGAACCAGAACCACCTTTTTGGCCTCATTTGTAGTCTGGTTGATATTTGTTTTGTACTTTGTATCTTTATGAGTCTCATTAGATAGCCCAGGCTGGCCTCTTCCCCCCACCCCCCCGGGGCAGGGTTTCTCTGTGTAGCCCTGGCTGTCCTGGAACTCACTCTGTAGACCAGGCTGGCCTCAAACTCAGAAATCTACCTGCCTCTGCCTCCCAAGTGCTAGGATTAAAGGCATGCACCACCACTGCTCTGGAGGCTGGCCTCTTCGACTCAATCCTCTTACCTATACCTTCTGCATACTGGGGTCCCAGAGATAGCCTGCCACACCTGGCAGAGCACAGCCACTTTTTTTTTTTTTTTTTTTTTTTTTTGGTTTTTCGAGACAGGGTTTCTCTGTGTAGCCCGGGCTGTCCTGGAACTCACTCTGTAGACCAGGCTG